GCAACCCCTAGTATCACATCGGGTGCGGAGATCTCACCTTCCCCATCCAAAGATCTGACGATCTTGCACGAAAAGGGAGCTTCCACATCTGCGGCTACGGAAGCACCCTCAGCGGTCAAGAAGCTACTGGAAAGATGGCTAACAAGCACTCTAAGTGGCTTGGTTGAGAGGTCACCACAAAGTAACATCAGGTGTACACCAACGGTAGACACCACTGCTGCCGTGGGCGAACCGGAAGTTGCACTAGCAAATAACGAACCCGTCGAGACACAGACCAACGATGGCACACTAACAGCCATCCTAAAGAAGATGGAAGAAATGGAAAATGAAAACAAGGCGCTCCGCGATCAGATGAAGGAACATCAGGAGAGGGTCGACAAGATCCCCGGTGCCCCCAAGTTGCTACCCAAACGCGACGTGGGAAGGTTCGTTGAACAACCATACACTGAAGAAGCTGCCCCTCACTCCACCCCAAAAACCTTCAAGATGCCACCCTACTTGAGGGTATATGACGGAACCACTGATCCCGAGGATCATCTGATCCACTACGTCACCGCTGTGAAGGGCAATGACCTATCAAAGGAACAGGTACCGTCGGTACTGCTGAAGAAGTTTGGCGAGACGTTGACAGGAGGGGCTTTAACATGGTACTCTCAGCTACCAGCTAAGGCAATATCAACGTTCGAGGAAATGGCGGATAAGTTCGTCACAGCCCATGCAGGCGCGAAGAAAGCGGAGGCCAGGGTCAACGACATCTTCGCCATCAGGCAAACTACAGGAGAGGGACTCAGGGACTTCCTAGCAAGGTTTAACAGAGTAAGGATGAGTCTACCAAACGTATCGGAAGGTATGGCAGTCGCCGCTTTCCAGAACGGGCTAAGCAGGGATGGTTCAAGGGCAACCAAGAAGTTGCTGAGCCGCCTCATGAAATATCCCCCTACCACATGGGAGGAAATCCACAACGCCTATTGCGCTGAGGTATGAGCGGACGAGGATGATCTTAACGGGCCGACCCAACGGCTAACAGTGATACATCCAGAAACGAGGAGAGATCGACGGAACGAAGGACGACGAGAACAACTCCCTCGCTCCAACAGAGATCGACATCAGCCATACACCAGATCCTCCCATCCGCCACCAAGGCATACAGACGCGCTACAGCGACATGTCGCCCCACTCCGAAACGAAAGAGGTACGCCTCCTTTATTATCCGCCCATAACTTTTGTGTGTCTCCTTCAGAAATAGTGTACGTACTGGAGAAGCAGGGCACTAAAGTGCAGTGGCCGCAAAAAATGAAATCAGACCCCGCCACAAGGAAATCAAACGTCCTATGTGAGTTCCATTAGGAACGGGGGCACAAGACCGAAGACTGCATAGGCCTACGGCAAGAGGTGGCCAGGATGCTGAACCAGGGATACCTGAGGGAATTACTCAATGACAAAGGGAAAATCAACTTTGCACGCGGACGGGAACAACCCCATGGGCCGCCAAAGCTGCCCTCCCCAGCACGCACGATAAACATGATCGTCGGAGGCGGCGACGACTTGGCGATCAATCACGTCAAGTTCACCACCACGCACAAACTAAAGCGGACCATCGCCCATGAACGGTATGACGACTTCAAAGATAGTATCACCTTCGATAAGTCTGATGCCGACGGTTTGTCTTTCCCTCATTACGATGCTTTAGTTATCACTTTACGTATTGCTGATACAGATGTTAAAAGAATCATGATCGATGACGGAAGTGGCGCCTGTATTATCCACCCAAGGGTCCTCGTACAAATGGGACTCGAGGATAGGGTAATACCGCGCTACATAACACTAACCGGTTTTAACAATGCAGTGGAACGGACGTCCGGAGAAATAGCACTACCCGTCTTAGCAGGAGGAGTCACGCTGGAAACAACTTTCCACGTAATGAACCAAGAAACGGCGTACAACGTCATCATAGGACGCCCGTGGATTCACACCATGCGAGCGGTCCCTTCAAGCCTTTACCAAGTGATCAAATTCCCTACCCCATGGGGAATATTCAGTATTCGAGACGAGCCACGCACCGCACAAGAGTGCTACAAAATAGCCCAAGATTGCGCCCACACCCAACAGCTAAAGGGGGCGAGCGCGGAGGCATAGCAATTAGCCGTGTCGGGGACTAAGGTCAACCCGACAACGGACGCCATCAAAGACCCCGACGATGTGGAGGCCTGTAAAGCGACGGTTGAAGATCTTGACCCAGTTCAATTAAACGAAACCAATCTTACGAAGAAAGCCTATATCGGGCACGGTCTCGCCAACCCGAGTAAGTATCGTGACTTCTTAACTAACCATGCAGATTTGTTCGCCTTTTCACATTCAGATATGCCGGGAATCCCGACATCGCTACCCACAAGCTGAATGTCGATCCACTACATCCGCCCGTTCGATAGATGAGGAGAAAATTCAACGCCGCTATCAACGAAGCGGTCAGCGCGGAAGTAGACAAGTTACTTGCCAACGGCTCCATCAGAGAATCAAAATACCCCCAGTGGGTCGCCAATGTCGTCATGGTCAAAAAGAAAAACGGGAAGTGGAGAATGTGTGGATTTCACTGATCTGAACAAAGCATGCCCAAAGGATTCATTCCCATTACCCCACATCGACCAACTGATCGACGCCACTGCAGGACACGAACTACTGAGCTTCCTAGACGCCTACTCCGGCTACAATCAAATCATGATGGCCGAGGAGGACCAAGAGAAGACAACTTTCATCACCCACCAAGGGACTTACTGCTACAAGGTAATGCCCTTCGGGCTCAAAAATGCAGGGGCTATGTACCAGAGACTGGTCACCAAAATGTTCAAAGAGCAGCTCGGTAAGACTATGGAAGTCTATATCGACGACATGCTGGTAAAGTCGACAAGAAAAGAGGACCACATCGACCATCTGAAAGAAGCCTTCGAGATATTGAGAAGGTACGGGATGAAACTGAACCCCGAGAAATGCGCCTTCGGCGTGGCCTCAGGAAAATTCTTAGGGTTTCTCGTATCACAACGAGGTATCGAAGTCAATCCAGATCAGATCAAGGCGATAGACGGAATTCCCGAGATACTGAACAGCAAAAAGCAGGTGCAAAAGTTGACGGGGCGAATAGCCGCCTTGACTAGGTTCATCTCACGATCCTCCGACAGATGCCACAAGTTTTTCAATGTGCTGAGAAAGGACAATGGGTTACAATGGAATGAGGAATGCGTCGAGGCCTTAAGAAAATTGAAAGCGTACCTATCTTCGCCGCCACTGCTGGCCAAAGCAAATCCAGGCGAGCCCCTGCTGGTATATTTGGCCGTATCCGAGGTCGTCGTCAGCGCAGTCCTAGTTCGTGAAAATGAAGGTACGCAATCTCCTATTTACTATATTAGCAAAACCTTAGTGGACGCCGAAACACGGTATCCACACCTTGAAAAATTAGCTCTGGCATTGGTCGTAGCTTCACGGAAGCTCCAAACCTATTTCCAATGCCACCCCATAAAAGTAGTGGCGACCTTCCCCTTGAGAAGTATCCTACACAAGCCTGAGTTATCAGGCAGACTCGCCAGATGGGCCATAGAGCTCAGTGAGCACGATATCTCATATCATCCAGGAAACACCATCAAGTCGCAAGTACTTGCCGACTTCATAGCCGACTTCAGCGCAGAGATACTACCAGAGGCGGAATTAGAGGAAAGTCGTGCCCCCTCCAATGCCGACCTATGGACTCTTTACACTGATGGCGCCGCTAACGCCTCGGGATCGGGACTGGGACTCGTTCTCGAGGTCCCCACGGGCGAAACAATTCGCCAGTCCATACGATGCCCCGAGATGACTAACAACGAAGCAGAGTACGAGGCTGTTATTGCAGGTTTGAAACTAGCCATCAAGTATGGAGCTTGATGACTCGTTCTCTATTGCGACTCTCAACTCGTGGTGAACCAGGTCACCGGGACTTACCAAATCAAGGAGCAGAGGTTACAAAAATACCAGTCAGAAATTCACAGGTTAATAACCGAGTTCGACGAGTGCCGCTTCGAACAAGTTCCGAGAGCACGGGATGTTGAAGCAGACGGCCTAGCGAAATTGGCCGCAGCCACTAAAAACTTCAACAAAGAAAGCGTGGTCACCCTCCTCCATTCAGCCATTGATCACACTGAGGTACTCTCTTTAAATTTGACTTGGGACTGGCGCAACCAATTTGTATCCTATCTGCAGGATGGGACAGTCCCACTCGACAAAAAAGAAGCCAAGAAGCTCCGCGTACAGGCCGCCTGGTATTGCCTGATAAACCACGAGCTCTACAAAAGGATGTTTGGCGGACCCCTAGCCAAGTGTCTAGGGCTGCAACAAACACGACCAGTGCTCGAAAAGGTACACGAAGGTCATTGCGGCGCCCATACAGGTAACCGCGCCCTCGTGCGCTGCATAGTACGAGCTGGCTATTATTGGCCCACTATGAAGAAAGACGCAGCGGAGTATGTTCGCCGATGCGAACAATGCCAAAAGTATGCCCCCATGATACACCAACCAGGAGAACCACTTCACTCGGTCACTTCCCCATGGCCCTTCATCAAATGGGGAATGGACATAGTCGGTCCCCTACCAGTGGGACGAGAAAAGGTACGATTTCTATTAGTTTTAACTGACTATTTTTCCAAGTGGGTGGAAGCAGGAGCGTACGCCCAAATACGCGAACAAGTAGTCATCGCCTTCATATGGAAGAATATCATCTGCCGTTTCGGCATCCCCAAGGAAATCAGCTGTGACAACGGACGACAATTCATCGGCCAAAAGACAACAGAATTCTTCGACGAATGGCGTATCAAGCGGATACTATCCACGCCATATCACCGTGCCGCCAACGGCCAAGCAGAGTCTTCCAATAAAGCAATACTGAACATACTGAAGAAGAAACTCGAGGAAGCCAAAGGGCTATGGCCCGAGCTACTACCGGAAGTGTTATGGGCACACCGAACCACGCCCAAATCCTCCACAGGAGAAACACCGTACTCACTGGTCTACGAAACCGACGCGGTCATACTGGTCGAAGTCGGCGAACAAGGCTTAAGGTATTCACATACCAGCGGAGCAGAGAATGACGTAAACAGACTTCAAGACCTCGATGAGGCCGAGGAAAGAAGAGAAATGGCCCACATAAGAATGGTGGCTCAGAAACAACAAGCCGAAAGATACTACAACAAGAGAGCCAAAATAAGACCACTCAAAGTGGGGGACTACGTCCTCAAAGCCAAAACATTGGCATCAAAAGACCCAACCGAAGGAAAACTGGGCAACAACTGGGACGGACCCTACAAAATCACAGCGGCAGCAAGTAAAGGAGCATTTCAATTAGAAACAATGGAAGGAAAAACGCTCCAAAACAATTGGAACATCGCCCACCTCAAGTATTTCCATTTCTGAAAGGCGTCTCCCGAGTCGCACTCTTTTTCCCTCACCCGGGTTTTGTCCCAATTGGGTTTTCTCGGGGAGGTTTTTAACGAGGTGACAGAGGGGACACCTGGAGATATTTGAGAAACAAGTTTATCATACCAGCCACTCCATACGTCCTCCCGACTGGCATGACAAAGGGACTGGACTAGCATGATCTCCAATGTATGAACGGCTACGGCCATCTCCAATGTATGAACGGCTACGGCCATCTCCAATGTATGAACGGCCACGGCCATCTCCAATGTATGAACGGATACGGCCATCTCCAATGTATGAACGGCTACGACCATCTCCAATATATGAACGGCTAAGGCTGTTAACGGTATAATGGTTAAGGCCATCGACGTCGATAAGTCGACCTAGTTCGACTACGACGGCAAATAACTCGACGACAGTCGAAGTTACGCACATGGCTAAGGCCATCAACGGTATAATGGCTAAGGCCATCGACGCCGATAAGTCGACCCAGCTCGACTATGACAGCGGGTACCTCGACGATAGTCGAAGCTGCGCACACGGTTTAGGCTATCAACAACATTGAGGCCGAAAATAAAAGGTACCAAAAGAAAAGAATAACAGCAAAAGTATAACTTCCATTATCATACAAAAATACATGTACAAAATGACCCATTTACGTCTCCAAAAACAGCAAAACAAAATGAGTACAAGTCCTAAGAAGCTTCGCCATTCTGTTCACCGCCCCCCGTCGGACCGCCATCTCGTCCCCCGCCATCCTCGGCCTGATAGGCCGCAGAGATCCAAGAGCCGGATTCTAGACGGTTGACATCTTCGGAGTTATAACCCGCCCGGTCTGGGGAATCAGAACTATACCCACAAGTTTCACGGGCGACACGGGCTATGCGCCGTTTCTCCTGAACCTCCGCCTCAGTAGCTCGACCCGCAGCTAAGAACTCCTCGAATACGACCAATCTAGCCTCGGCGTACACCCACATATCNTAATGGCTAAGGCCATCGACGTCGATAAGTCGGCCCAGCTCGACTACGACGTCAAATAACTCGACGATAGTCGAAGTTACGCACATGGCTAAGGCCATCAAAAATATATAATGGCTAAGACCATCGACGTAGATAAGTCGGCCCAGCTCGACTACGACGTCAAATAACTCGACAATAGTCGAAGTTACGCGCATGGCTAAGGCCATCAACGGTATAATGGCTAAGGCCATCGACGTCGATAAGTCGGCCCAGCTCGACTACGACGTCAAATAACTCGACGACAGTCGAAGTTACGCACGTGGCTAAGGCCATCAACGGTATAATGGCTAAGGCCATCGACGCCGATAAGTCGACCCAGCTCGACTATGACAGCGGGTGCCTCGACGATAGTCGAAGCTGCGCACACGGTTAAGGCTATCAACAACATTAAGGCCGAAATAAAGGTCCAAAAGAAACGATAACAGCAAAAGTCAACTTCCATTATCATCCAAAATCATGTACAAAAGGCCCATTTACGTCTCCAAAACAGCAAACAAATGAATCAAGT